AAATACCCAGGTTGCGCAGCTTCAATGTATGTACCTATACATACATACATATATTAAAGGTATAAAGTGCAAGTGAGATATTATCCGGATAAACGAATAACACCATAACAATGATAACACTTTTTCTTTAAATAAATCAAATAGTACTTTTAATACTCGAATTGTATTATAGTAGGTAGAGTGGTTGCATCGAAAGGAAGAGTGGTTGGGTTCGAAACCTGCTGTAGGCATGTAGTTATAAACATGTATTTCCGTCAGTTATGGGTAAGTATGCAGGTAGATTTTCAAAATTATAAGACACAGAAAATTTCTAAAGCCTACATCTAAAACAGGTAGTATTTTCTTTTCCCGGCTTGTTATAAAAAGGAACCTTTCTGTCTAGGTAAGATTTGATTTTTTCAATTTTATTCTTGTTCCGAGTATAAATATGAGTTAATGCGCTTTGAAACTTCATAACATCTTCAAGGCTCGCCGGAGATAGTTCAGTTCATAAGTCTAATTTCAAAACCGTGATTTATTAAAAAAAATAAAATGAGTAAAAGGAAGCGAGAATTTGAGTGTAATAAGGATCCAGATATGTTCTGTTTCATGTGTGGCCAATATACTATCATAAGACGACGACGAGTGTTCTCAGATCATATCAAAACTTTATACTCCAAGTATTTTGGAATTGAGCCTAAAAATGCTGAAAAACCATGGACACCGAACACTTTGTGTACATCGTGTCGAGTAGAATTGATTCAGTGGGAATCAGGACAACAAACAAAATTTGATACACCAATGATATGGAGAGAACCTACTTGCCATTCAATAGAGTGTTATATTTGTCAAACAAAAGTACTTGGCGTTGGAAGATCAAGAGGAGTAACCTATGCTAGCGTACCTACAGTGACATTACCAATCAAATTAAGATAAAGATTTTTAGAATATAGTATAAACATAAATAAATAAAAAAAAAAAGTTAAAAATATGGGTAATTTCATTCATAAATTGAACTCAATAGAAACAGAGAATAGCTAGATATTTCACTCTTCTTTATACCATACATACGTTTTGAGGTATACGTTGAAATTGCGCAACCTGGGTATTTTTATTTGATCGCTTATAACTTACGTAGTTTTGCATCGATTTTCTTCGATGATAGCTTATTTTTTTTGTAATACAACAGAGCTTAGGGAGAAAAAAAAAATCTGCAAAAAAATAAAAGGTTTTCGAGATCCTTCCCCGCAAAGTTCAATTTCTTTTATATTTTTTCAAAAAAAATTGAAAAAATCGGTAATGATTGTTCGTTATCTTTGAATGTACAGGGCCTAGCAAAAAGTGTTGTATGCACAGCTTATAGAAAATTTTATTACCTTTTAAAAGCTTCAAACCGTTTTGGAATTGCTTTATTCGTTCTTGAGATATATATGATTAAGTGGACCCAATTTTTTTTTTTTTTGCAAAAACGGTAAATTGCAAATATCTCAAAAACGGTACCATAAAATTAAAAATAACCTTGATTTTCGGAATCAGGGGGTGATTTTACATAAGGATTTCATAACGGCGTCTCTGGTAAATTTTGGCCGTCGACCAGTGTAATTAATTTCGGAAATATTTTTCATGAGAGTTGCCACCTGTTTGAAAATGTTATTTCCTGATCAGAACCAAATTTAGCACACTTTCTCAGTTATTTACACTGTACGAAACTTTCACTTTTCTCTGCTAAATTGGTGAAACCAAAGTCTGGATTACATATTGAAAGAAATTTCTCAGTTTTCGCAGGTTGGCGATTTTAAGCGTTTTTTTTAATTGAAGTTGGTGATCGCAGAGCAGCATTTAAAACAATTAAAAAGCGATTAAAATGCAAATACTGACAACTTCAAAATACCTTTATGGGGGCGAAGAATCTGAATTTGCCATTTCTTTTTAGTAAAAACGGCCGCTAGGGTGCGCTTTAATATGCAAAACATGGAAGGAACATGAAGGAAAATTGCAAACAATGTTTCTCAACAATACTTTTAAACAATGCCTCTTCGCGTTGATTTGTCCCAAACCTTTTTTAATACTAGGTTCACATATAAGTAGATTATCCTCATTTTCGAGCTTAACACCCTAATCTGTAATTATAACAAGAGATTAGCCGTATAAAATTCGTCCCTTGTTAATCTGTAATTATAAAATAATCTCAGATTTAACCGATAACTTTTCGGTGTCCATCCTAGTTTTATCGATTGTTTTTGCGAAAGAGAGGAGAAATGCCGAATGTAAAAGTAAACAAAAATGTACGCTAGCAAGTAAAAGAGGTTTGTAAAGGTATTTTTAATAAAATGTTAAGTTAAAATATATTTATATTGCTTATTATAGCAGAAAAACGTGATCACGGTGGCACAGAGAAGAAACATAAATTTTCCTTGAGATGTGGGAATAACAAGCACAACAAATTTGACGGCTAATAATCTGAGATTTGCCTGTGTAAACGGGGTGATTAAAAAACTAGCTTTGATTGAGATAATATTGATATGTGAACATAGTTTAAGAGCACCCACTCGCTGTGTTAAAAAAAAAAAACTTTTTGGTAAAAAAAAAACTACAAATTCAGCTTCCTCGCGCCCGAAACCCCCCAAAAACGTCTTTTAATATTATAAATGTTTGCATTGTTATCACTTCTAATTGTTTCAAATGCTTCCCAGCGACCACCAACTTCAAATTGAGATAAAAAGCTTAGAATCGTGAACCTGAGAAAACTGAGAAACTACTTTTCTATATACAATCCAGACTTTCAGAAAAACTTGGTTTCATCAACCCCCCAGCCGGCTGCCGATTAGTGTTATTACTGTAATATAATAATAATAACAGATTGGCGCTTACACAATATGTTAGCGTTTGGCCTTATTTTACCGCATGAGCGAGATCAAATCGCCTTCAAGACTTACTAATAGGTATTCATCTTGTCACAAAACCTGATCAGTGCCTTGAGCAGTGGACCAATTTTGCCGCTGCAAATTATTTCCACGTTATATCCACGTTGACATTACTTCAGAAGTTTTTTCCTAAGTCAGAGTTTCCACGTAGGAGGTCCCACTTAAATATGGAGCGTATGGGTTTTAGCGGGGTTTCGACATAACTTCCAGTGAACTGCGACATAAGTTCCATGAAAGTTATGTCAGACACAAGTCCCAAGATAATTGTGCACAAATCAATGAAATCCATTTTTTTTATAAATCTTATATTCTAAAGTTAAAGCTGGAAATTCGGCGCAAAGTTAAGTATTTTCACTTAAAACTTTTAGAAAAAATGGTCAAAGTTTAGAAACCCATGAGCTCATTTAATTTTTTAAATAATTTGAATTTTTTAACGGGTGGCGAATCTCTGCTGACACATAAAAAATATTTTTAGTGTCCCAACTAAATATTTCTTAACACTTTTTCGTTTGACGCCAATATATTCACCCAAATTTCAATACATATTTCAATTAGGTAATTGCCTTAACTTAGGTTGAGTTGAATTTTTTAAACAATATATCTCAGAAATAAAGCCTTTCAAAATCATTTCGATGATACCCTTCCTTTAATAATTCATCCAACTTATTAAATAATTAGAATGTCACTTTATAAACACGTGGCAACCCTCTTCAAACATTACATATATTGAGACTCAAGTTTTCTTAACACCCTTTCGCTTAATATTTCCAATAAATTGCGTGAAAGTTAATTAAATTCGACTTTTTAAACAGGAAACCCTTTCAAAAGTAGTTTCGCGCTAAGACATTCTTAAATACTCTCCGTCTAACATTGCGATACATATTGAAACACGTGGCAACCGCATTAAATATAGTTCGGAAATAAAGATTTTTCAAGCCCCATACGATTTATACCCACATTTTAATAATTAATTTGACTTTTTTAATATTTTGAATTCAATTCTTAAACAGGTGGCAACCCTCTTACAACATCACAAAAATATTCGTAGTCTTCTTAGCACTATTTTGTTTGACATCCATATAACTTGTGGATAAGTTAACCAAGTTGGAAATTTCAAGCATGTGGCAACCCAATTTAAAATATTTTCAAACTACTACATTCTGAAACCCATTTCGTGGGTAACCCATATGGTGATACATATTTCTCCTAACTAATTCCTCTAATTCAAATTGAATTTGATATTTTAAACAGGTGGCAACCCTCCTATAGTTAAGCTAAGAAAAGAAACTCTTTAAAACCATTTCGATTGATACCCAGCTTGTAATAATTGATTAATTTTTTTAAATAATTTGATAGTAATTTTTTAAAAGATGGCAACTCTAATCAAAAAAGTAAAACCTTGTGGCACATCTACAGTCCAAGGCTTTTATTTTGACACCTTTTGATTATTAAATAATTAGAATTAAATTTTACAAGAGGTGGCAGCTCTTTTCGAAAAACTAAAATCAGTTTGCGCATTTACAGACCAAGCGCTTTAATTTGACATCTCATTTTTTAAAATCTAATTTGGTTAAGTTATGAGATTTTCGTGGAAATCATCTGAAAGTTATGTTATGGCATAATTTCCATGGAAGTTATGTACATATGTACTGTTAAGTTTTGTATACATATGTGCTCCATGCCTCCGCCGTTTATTGGCATGTAAAATCGTCGTAAAACACCAACACATTGCAAAACCAGCTGCAAAGCGTCAGTTGCCACCAACAAGTCGGCAAATTGTAGGTATATTACCATCGGTCATTACCAACAGCAACAACCACAACAACACAACCATTATCAAACATCAGCGACAGCTATGTCACGCCGCATTTTTGATGGATCATCTCGATGCTTCGCTCAGTGAGTGCATAAAAGTCGAAGTGATGAAAATAGTACAATACTACAAGAAAATATTGCATTACCAGATGTGCGATGCGCTGTAAGCTGGAATGAACGTTCACATCCATATGCACATATGTACTTTCATATGCACGCTTGTGTACATACATATGCAAGTATGCATGTGAGCTGGTTAAGTACTGCTCATAGCAGCCATACCACTTTGATGACGGTTGCACGTTCATCACCGGAGATTGTGATGGCATCGGCGATGTCGATGTTGATGTTGATGTTGATGGCGATGTAGATGATGCTGATTATTATGGCAAACATGATGGAGTGTACAGAGTGCGCTGTTCTCGTATGTGCCTAGAGTTGTAGCGGCTGCATAAGCTTTTAATGGTATGTAGAGTTGCACATAAAACTGTGCAGTGCATTCCGTACACGATTAACAGAAATAGCTATAATTTTCACAAAAAAAAAAAACAACAAAGAAAACTCTTACAACGTAATGTGTACGAGTAAGTATACATATATGTATGTATATAAGTAATTGGTCGAAGGCAGGGCGTGCAAACGGTCGCTTCGGCGAGTTTGAAAGCATTCAACAGTTTTGGGACATGGGCCATGAAAACAAGTCTCATCTACACAGTATGCATGTGCGGATGAGTACATACTTGTGCGATTGACTAAATCCTGGCATTTACTCTATTTCTGATATTCGCGCCTCACCGGCTTGCCCGTGTACTGGTGCTGCGCGGACGGATGTGGCATAATAAAAGTGCACAGCGTGGATGCGTTGAAATTTGCGGTGTATGACATCACGTTCGGTAATTTCCGCTTTTTACAGCATTCGATTAGCGGACCAACGCGACCCGCATACGACAAAACTTCGCCGTTTCCGTTGTTTGAATGTTGTTATGGTTGTTGCTGTGGCGCTGATGACATTTTTTTCTTGACTGATTGATGACACATTACATTACCTTACATACTACACAATTTTGCCAAGCAACCAACACCATTGATGCGGATATTGTTGCAGGCGCTATAACATTCTTTGTATGACAACAAAAACATGTCGAATTTGCCATTGGTTTTTATGTGTTGTTTGTGTAACATTCCTATATCCATGTCCAGTAAGAAATGGAATTTATTAGCTAAATACTCGTTTTAATGTTCGTTTAATGGTTAAGAATGCTAATAAAGTTTTAAAGTTATAAAAGAATCGCTTTTACAGTCCGTTTCAATTTTTACTGCTGAATAGGTCAAAGCAAAGTATGAAATAAAAATGTTTGAAATAAGATTTTGAGCTTTTATATAAATCAGTTCCATTACAACCATAGATGCCAGAGTTTTGTTTGACAACTAACACGATTCACCATTGAGCTACCTACTTGTCAACGTAGCGACAAGCGTTCAACTTGCTTGAACTCTAATTTATAGAATTTCATCGTTTAACAGAGTGTAACGACTCAACGACGATCAAAATATATATAACTTATACAACTTTCGAAAAAAATGGGGCTGTCAAAATCAAAAATTTATAAAGGTATCCGAATATATGTACATTTATGAGTTATAGAAATTTATCGAGACCTCGAATTGCTCAGTTATCGAAATTAGTCGAGTTATCGAATTTTGTTGAGTTATCGGATTTTGGTGTTTTTGAAATTGATGGAATTATCGATATGTATCAGATCATTAAAATTTATCGATAAACTAGAATGCATCGGGTAAATTAGAAGTCCTGCCAAAGTCCTACAAATCTTCAAAGATATAAAAAATTTTAGTCCGGTAAATTGCTTTGTAACTTTTAAGTTTTTTTTTAGTTAGAGCTAGAAAACCTCTGAAAGGCTCTTAAAAACTAAAAAAGCTGTCGAATTTCGACAGTAACTGGCACTCTAGTTTGCCTTAATGGTGGTTCCCAAATAAACGGAGACGTCTACTTTTTCAAACTTGTAACTGTCAACGGTGACATGGGTTCGAAGACGCTTATGCTCTGACTATTTGTCCGATGAGAGGAGATAATTCGTTTTGACCTCGTTCACCACCAGACCCAGGCGCTTTGTTTCTCTATCTAATTCCTTAAAGGCTGAGCTGATGTAGCTCTTGTTTTTACCGATGAATTCCCTGTCGTCGGCATACGCCAGCAATTGTACGCTCTTGTATGACACTTCGCCAGTGCGGTTCAATTCTGCGGCTCTTATTATCTTCTCAGACATCAGATTAAAGAAATCGCCCGAAAGGTAGCCTTGGCTGAAACCTCGTTTTGGTATCAAATGGCTCGGAGAGGTCCTTCCTATTTCCAATGAAGCTGGTGGTATTGCTCAAAGTAATTTTCCATAGCCGTATTAGTTTCGTGAGGATACCAAATTCAGAAATCGCGACATAAAGACACATTTTTTTCTTCAAATAGACGGTGTGTGTCGATGCTGTTCTCTCGAGTTTTCTCCAATATTTGGCGTTTTGTGAATACCTGATCTATGGTTGTATGACTTGCCAGCCCTAAAGACACATTGATAAGGCCGAATCAGTTCGTCGACGGTGAGTTCAGTCTTTCACACAATACACTTGAGAAGACTTGTTACCTCTGCTTACAAAGCTGATATCGCGGTAGCTGGCATGCATGGTGGTAGATTGGGCAGAATACTTTTAAGTTACACTCATCGGACATGCGTTCATCTGACCATATTCTACTTACTTCTCACCACCGCTCTTGAATAGCTCGACAGGCAGGCCATCAACTATAGCTGTTCTGTTTGGTTTTCAGCCGCGTAATTACTGTTCGTACCTTGCTGTGGTCAGACGGTGCGAATTGGACTCCACTGTCATCGACTAGGGGCTCGGATTCAGCTTTCCACTAGTTTTAGTGCTGCTAAGTACTACTTCTGGACATCGGCCACTAGGTTGCCATTGTTGTTTTTATAGGAGCTCGACTTGGTTCTAGAAGTTTCCGTAAGTTGGAAGTTTTTTCTCTCGGCCAGCATTATAAGCTCTTCGCATTCATATATTTCGGCCTTTCTCCTTTTATTGCGGCAAATACGTCTCGGTTCCCTCTTCATTTCCCTATAGCAGTCCCATCTACCTCTCGCAGCGTGGCCCTGTAGAGGCCTTCTTGACACTCTTCATCGTACAAGTTGTTGTTCTTCTTCTACGGCACTTAATGAGCTGGAAAAGTGTTTCCAATTTTCGCATATGTCGGGATGTTTCAGAGTGCTCTCTAAGAGCAGGTGTGAGAGAATATTGAAATGCAAATGAAAGCGTGCGGAACGATTTGAAAATGTGAAATCCAAACCAGTTAATCGAATCCGTAGCCACAAGCTTGAAGTGACGAAATGTTTGATTGTATATAGAAAACGCCAGATTTACAAATCATTAGTTGCCGTATTAGACCTCAAATTAAAACTCTTCCAGGTTCTCTGATAATACCCTCTACTGACAGCTAAATTTTGCACGTACAACAATTGTCGGTGTAAAAAAAGCGCTCATTTTTATAACTTTCGCCTGATGCGCAGAATTATGCGTTGGCAATTTAATACAAAATCTTACAATTCTTTCAAATACCCTCAGCTGTCTGTCGCATTTTTATGTGTGTGCAGACAGCAATCACTTACTCACTAGATATATTTTATTGATCCATACTCTATAGGAATTAATTATGATTGAAATGTATTAATTAGTTGATTGCAACATTAGTCTACTTTTTTTTAGCTTTGCTTTAAAAATGAACTTCTCGGCTTTAAGCATTCAAATTGGTGCAGCAAAATAATCGACAACACTTTTACATTAACCATCATTTTGTATTCCCCCACCAACAAAAACAAAAAAAATACGTATTAATTATCATATTAAAATTGTTGTCAGGCATTTTTGGCCTCGATTAAAACTGCGAACGCTGCAGATTTTGGGTTTTTGCCATTAATTGTTGAATTAAAAAGTGCTGTGCAAAAACCACTCACACATGCTCATTGGGGGCGCGGCGTGGCATTTAAGCAAATAAAGCAGAGCAGTGGAATGAAGCGACATAGCGGAGAGATATGTACATAAAACTTACATATTTATGTGTGTATGCATATTTGTTTGCATTGTACATACCCCGCAGCAAAATTTAGACACAGTCTGGCAAAGCGCTAGTTCAGCCGTACGCATTTCAGAACTGCCTCTGAACTACTGAAAAAGGGATGCTGGACGGTTGAAACTCATGAGGTGCTAGTTGCGCTGTGATCGATGTTATTCATCCTGGTCATGTGAAAGCTGACGAAAGATGCACAAATATACCATACTACATTTTTTCGACTTTCTTAGACCCTAGAACTAATAGCAAACTATTTTCGTTTGTTTAATATGCCATTCCCTAATCTATGAGGCAACGGCTAAAATATTTCCAAAAAAGTCGTTATTGCTAACATAAATGTCATTTTTATACATATAGGTATACATATGTACATACTAGAGGGCTGCACGAACTCATTAAAACTTCTAGCCAAACAGAGTATGGTAGATTTGAATATTTTACTTCACATACAAAATTCTCAGTGTTTGGAATTTTGTAAGTTATGAATATACATTTTGTTTTAAATTTTCTACCGTCAAATGGAAGAATGTGAATGAATGAAAGAAAAAAAATTCAAATCATTCAAAACCATTTCGGTTAAAGTTTTTCCTACAAATAATTTTGTACGTATTGTAGTAGGGGTGGAGCAATGCATACAAACATACATATCGTTGTTTAAAGTACAAAACCGCGTATCGTAATTCTGCAAAACCTCGTAACTGACTTTTTCGCTAAAAAAGGTATTTGCTCACCGGAAGCTCCTGACTTCAAATCCTTATCCATTCATACTAAAATATCGAAACATAGATATAAGAAGAAGAAATGATTAGGGATAAAAGAGAGCATCGTTTTGAAATAAGACAAGCTTTCCCCTTTCCAATGAAATCAAGACAACCTCATATACAAGCTTATGCATTTTCTTGATATGCGGTTTTGTACTTTAAACGATGATATGTATGTGTACATATGTACATAGAAAAACTATTTTTGGATATTCTTACAAAAAATTGTCATTTATTTCAATTATTTTTTTCACTTTGTTTGAAAATTGTATTTTTGACACATATATCAGAACAGGTATTCACTCAAATTAAAAAAATTTTGAAACCAAAGTCATTAATTCGTTTTCTATATGAATAATTCATAAGCCGTTTTGAATGAATTCATGCAGCCCTCTAATACGTACGTATAGAATTCAATGCAAAATATAAACGTAAAATTAAGTTAAGTTACATTTTAACAGCAAAAGTCAGCAAATGGTGTACATTCTTTTTAAATA